TATATCTCTAAGGTGTATCTCTATCTCTGGGGTATATCTCTAAGGGTTATCTCTATCTCTGGGGTCTATCTCTATCTCTGAGGTATATCTCTATCTCTGGGGTATATCTCTAAGGTATATCTCTATCTCTGGGGTCTATCTCTATCTCTGAGGTCTATCTCTATCTCTGAAGTCTATCTCTATCTCTGAGGTTCATCTCTATCTCTGAGGTCTATCTCTATCTCTGAGGTCTATCTCTATCTCTGAGGTCTATCTCTATCTCTGGGGTATATCTCTAAGGTTTATCTCTATCTCTGGGGTCTATCTCTATCTCTGGGGTCTATCTCTATCTCTGAGGTCTATCTCTATCTCTAAAGTATATCTCTATCTCTGAGGTGTATCTCTATCTCTGAGGTTCATCTCTATCTATGGGGTCTATCTCTATCTCTGAGGTATATCTCTATCTCTGAGGTCTATCTCTATCTCTGGGGTCTATCTCTATCTCTGAGGTCTTTCTCTATCTCTGGGGTATATCTCTAAGGTTTATCTCTATCTCTGGGGTCTATCTCTATCTCTGAGGTATTTCTCTATCTCCATGTGTGGTATCTATCTCTATCTCTGAGGTCTATCTCTATCTCTGAGGTCTATCTCTATCTCTGGGGTATATCTCTAAGGTGTATCTCTATCTCTGGGGTCTATCTCTATCTCTGGGGTCTATCTCTATCTCTGAGGTCTATCTCTATCTCTGAGGTCTATCTCTATCTCTGAGGTCTATCTCTATCTCTGGGGTATATCTCTAAGGTTTATCTCTATCTCTGGGGTCTATCTCTATCTCTGGGGTCTATCTCTATCTCTGAGGTCTATCTCTATCTCTAAAGTATATCTCTATCTCTGAGGTGTATCTCTATCTCTGAGGTTCATCTCTATCTATGGGGTCTATCTCTATCTCTGAGGTATATCTCTATCTCTGAGGTCTATCTCTATCTCTGGGGTCTATCTCTATCTCTGAGGTCTTTCTCTATCTCTGGGGTATATCTCTAAGGTTTATCTCTATCTCTGGGGTCTATCTCTATCTCTGAGGTATTTCTCTATCTCCATGTGTGGTATCTATCTCTATCTCTGAGGTCTATCTCTATCTCTGAGGTCTATCTCTATCTCTGGGGTATATCTCTAAGGTGTATCTCTATCTCTGGGGTCTATCTCTATCTCTGGGGTCTATCTCTATCTCTGAGGTCTATCTCTATCTCTGGGGTATATCTCTAAGGTCTACCTCTATCTCTGGCGTCTATCTCTATCTTTATCTATGGGGTCTATCTCTATCTCTGAAATCTATCTTTATCTCTGAGGTCTATCTCTATCTCTGAGGTCTATCTCTTTCTCTGGGGTCTATCTCTATCCCTGATATCTATCTCTATCTCTGGTGTCTATCTCTATCTCTGAGTTCTATCTCTATCTCTGAAGTCTATCTCTATCTCTGAGGTGTATCTCTATCTCTGAGGTCTATCTCTATATCTGAGGTCTATCTCTATCTCTGAGGTTCATCTCTATCTATGGGGTCTATCTCTATCTCTGAGGTATATCTCTATCTCTGAGGTCTATCTCTATCTCTGGGGTCTATCTCTATCTCTGAGGTCTATCTCTATCTCTGGGGTATATCTCTAAGGTTTATCTCTATCTCTGGGGTCTATCTCTATCTCTGGGGTCTATCTCTATCTCTGAGGTATATCTCTATCTCTGAGGTATATCTCTAAGGTCTACCTCTATCTCTGGCATCTATCTCTATCTTTATCTATGGGGTCTATCTCTATCTAAATATCTATCTTTATCTCTGAGGTCTATTTCTATCTCTGATATCTATCTCTATCTCTGAGGTCTATATCTATCTCTGAGGTCTATCTCTATCTCTGGGGTCTATCTCTATCTCTGGGGTCTATCTCTGTGGTCTATCTCTATCTCTGGGGTCTTTCTCTATCTCTGATCTCTATCTCTATCTCTGAGGTCGATCACTATCTCTGAGGTCTATCTCTATATCTGGGGTCTATCTCTGAGGTCTATCTCTATCTCTGGGGTCTATCTCTATCTCTGAGGTCTATCTCTATCTCTGAGGTCCATCTCTATCTCCATGTCTGGTATCTATCTCTATCTCTCGGATCTATCTCTATCTCTGAGGTCTATCTCTATCTCTGAGGTCTATCTCTATCTCCATGTCTGGTATCTATCTCTATCTCTGAGGTCTATCTCTATCTCTGAGGTCTATCTCTATCTCTGGGGTATATCTCTAAGGTTTATGTCTATTTCTGTGGTCTATCTCTATCTCTGGGGTCTATCTCTATCTCTGAGGTCTATCTCTATCTCTGGGGTATATCTCTAAGGTCTACCTCTATCTCTGGCGTCTATCTCTATCTTTATCTATGGGGTCTATCTCTATCTCTGATATCTATCTTTATCTCTGAGGTCTATCTCTATCTCTGAGGTCTATCTCTATCTCTGGGGTCTATCTCTATCTCTGATATCTATCTCTTTCTCTGGGGTCTATCTCTATCCCTGATATCTATCTCTATCTCTGGTGTCTATCTCTATCTCTGAGGTCTATCTCTATCTCTGAAGTCTATCTCTATCTCTGAGGTGTATCTCTATCTCTGAGGTCTATCTCTATATATGAGGTCTATCTCTATCTCTGAGGTTCATCTCTATCTATGGGGTCTATCTCTATCTCTGAGGTATATCTCTATCTCTGAGGTCTATCTCTATCTCTGGGGTCTATCTCTATCTCTGGGGTATATCTCTAAGGTCTACCTCTATCTCTGGCATCTATCTCTATCTTCATCTATGGGGTCTATCTCTATCTCTGATATCTATCTTTATCTCTGAGGTCTATTTCTATCTCTGATATCTATCTCTATCTCTGAGGTCTATATCTATCTCTGAGGTCTATCTCTATCTCTGGGGTCTATCTCTATCTCTGGGGTCTATCTCTGTGGTCTATCTCTATCTCTGGGGTCTTTCTCTATCTCTGATCTCTATCTCTATCTCTGAGGTCGATCACTATCTCTGAGGTCTATCTCTATATCTGGGGTCTATCTCTGAGGTCTATCTCTATCTCTGGGGTCTATCTCTATCTCTGAGGTCTATCTCTATCTCTGAGGTCCATCTCTATCTCCATGTCTGGTATCTATCTCTATCTCTCGGATCTATCTCTATCTCTGGGGTCTATCTCTATCTCTGAGGTCTATCTCTATCTCCATGTCTGGTATCTATCTCTATCTCTGAGGTCTATCTCTATATCTGAGGTCTATCTCTATCTCTGAGGTTCATCTCTATCTATGGGGTCTATCTCTATCTCTGAGGTATATCTCTATCTCTGAGGTCTATCTCTATCTCTGGGGTCTATCTCTATCTCTGGGGTCTATCTCTATCTCTGGGGTATATCTCTAAGGTCTACCTCTATCTCTGGCATCTATCTCTATCTTTATCTATGGGGTCTATCTCTATCTCTGATATCTATCTTTATCTCTGAGGTCTATTTCTATCTCTGATATCTATCTCTATCTCTGAGGTCTATATCTATCTCTGAGGTCTATCTCTATCTCTGGGGTCTATCTCTATCTCTGGGGTCTATCTCTGTGGTCTATCTCTATCTCTGGGGTCTTTCTCTATCTCTGATCTCTATCTTTATCTCTGAGGTCGATCACTATCTTTGAGGTCTATCTCTATATCTGGGGTCTATCTCTGAGGTCTATCTCTATCTCTGGGGTCTATCTCTATCTCTGAGGTCTATCTCTATCTCTGAGGTCCATCTCTATCTCCATGTCTGGTATCTATCTCTATCTCTCGGATCTATCTCTATCTCTGGGGTCTATCTCTATCTCTGAGGTCTATCTCTATCTCCATGTCTGGTATCTATCTCTATCTCTGAGGTCTATCTCTATATCTGAGGTCTATCTCTATCTCTGAGGTTCATCTCTATCTATGGGGTCTATCTCTATCTCTGAGGTATATCTCTATCTCTGAGGTCTATCTCTATCTCTGGGGTCTATCTCTATCTCTGGGGTCTATCTCTATCTCTGGGGTATATCTCTAAGGTCTACCTCTATCTCTGGCATCTATCTCTATCTTTATCTATGGGGTCTATCTCTATCTCTGATATCTATCTTTATCTCTGAGGTCTATTTCTATCTCTGATATCTATCTCTATCTCTGAGGTCTATATTTATCTCTGAGGTCTATCTCTATCTCTGGGGTCTATCTCTATCTCTGGGGTCTATCTCTGTGGTCTATCTCTATCTCTGGGGTCTTTCTCTATCTCTGATCTCTATCTCTATCTCTGAGGTCGATCACTATCTCTGAGGTCTATCTCTATATCTGGGGTCTATCTCTGAGGTCTATCTCTATCTCTGGGGTCTATCTCTATCTCTGAGGTCTATCTCTATCTCTGAGGTCCATCTCTATCTCCATGTCTGGTATCTATCTCTATCTCTCGGATCTATCTCTATCTCTGGGGTCTATCTCTATCTCTGAGGTCTATCTCTATCTCCATGTCTGGTATCTATCTCTATCTCTGAGGTCTATCTCTATCTCTGAGGTCTATCTCTATCTCTGGGGTATATCTCTAAGGTTTATCTCTATTTCTGGGGTCTATCTCTATCTCTGGGGTCTATCGCTATCTCTGAGGTCTATCTCTATCTCTGGGGTATATCTCTAAGGTCTACCTCTATCTCTGGCGTCTATCTCTATCTTTATCTATGGGGTCTATCTCTATCTCTGATATCTATCTTTATCTCTGAGGTCTATCTCTATCTCTGAGGTCTATCTCTATCTCTGGGGTCTATCTCTATCTCTGATATCTATCTCTATCTCTGGTGTCTATCTCTATCTCTGAGGTCTATCTCTATCTCTGAGGTCTATCTCTATCTCTGAGGTCTATCTCTATCTCTGAGGTCTATCTCTCTCTCTGAGGTATATCTCTATCTCTGGGGTCTATCTCTATCTCTGGGGTCTATCTCTATCTCTGATATCTATCTCTATCTCTAGGGTCTATCTCTGTGGTCTATCTCTATCTCTGGGGTCTTTCTCTATCTCTGATCTCTATCTCTATCTCTGAGGTCAATCACTATCCCTGAGGTCTATCTCTATCTCTGGGGTCTATCTCTGAGGTCTATCTCTATCTCTGGGGTCTATCTCTATCTCTGGGCTCTATCTCTGAGGTCTATCTCTATCTCTGGGGTATATCTCTATCTCCATGTCTTGTATCTATCTCTATCTCTGGGATCTATCTATATCTATGGGGTCTATCTCTATCTCTGAGGTCTATCTCTATCTCCATGTCTGGTATCTATCTCTATCTCTGAAGTCTATCTCCGTCTATGAGGTCTATCTCTACCTCTATCTCTGAGGTCTACCTCTATCTCTGAGGTCTATCTCTATCTCTGAGGTCTATCTCTATCTCTGAAGTCTATCTCTATCTCCATGTCTTGTATCTATCTCTATCTCTGGGATCTATCTATATCTATGGGGTCTATCTCTATCTCTGAGATCTATCTCTATCTCCATGTCTGGTATCTATCTCTATCTCTGAAGTCTATCTCCATCTATGAGGTCTATCTCTACCTCTATCTCTGAGGTCTACCTCTATCTCTGAGGTCTATCTCTATCTCTGAGGTCTATCTCTATCTCTGAAGTCTATCTCTATCTCTGAGGTCTATCTCTATCTCTGGGGACTATCTCTATCTCTGAGGTCTATCTCTATCTCTGGGGTCTATCTCTATCTCTGAGGTCTATCTCTATCTCTGAAGTCTATTTCGATCTCTGAGGTCTATCTCTATGTCTGGGGACTATCTCTATCTCTGAGGTCTATCTCTATCTCTGAGGTCTATCTCTATCTCTGGGGTCTATCTCTATCTCTGAGGTCTATCTCTATCTCTGAAGTCTATTTCGATCTCTGAGGTCTATCTCTATCTCTGGGGACTATCTCTATCTCTGAGGTCTATCTCTATCTCTGAGGTCTATCTCTATCTCTGGGGTCTATCTCTATCTCTGAGGTCTATCTCTATCTCTGAGGTATATCTCTATCTCTGGGGTCTATCTCTATCTCTGAGGTATATTTCGATCTCTGAAGTCTATTTCGATCTCTGAGGTCTATCTCTATCTCTGGGGACTATCTCTATCTCTGAGGTCTATCTCTATCTCTGAGGTCTATCTCTATCTCTGAGGTCTATCTATATCTATGTTGTATATCTCTATCTCTGAGGTCTATCTCTATCTCTGAGGACTATCTCTATCTCTGTGGTCTATCTCTATCTCTATGGTCTATCTCTATCTCTATCTCTGGGGTCTCTCCATGCCCCAAAAAGGAGAGGATCAGAGGAGGAGCCACATAAGGAGTAATAATAAGAAGAGAAGGACAATAAGAAGAGGGAGACTAATAATAATAATGGGGGAACAACAGGAAATGGTGGGAAGAGGGGAATCAATCGATCAATCACATGACACTGAAACATCCAATCACACGGGCTCAGGCCCTGTTACGAGACCCTCAGCCACACACGGGATCAGGCCGGGTCACTAGACCCTCAGCCACACATGGGCTCAGGCCCGGTCACGAGACCCTCAGCCCACACACGGGATCAGGCCGGGTCACTAGACCCTCAGCCACACACGGGCTCAGGCCCGGTCACAAGACCCTCAGCCACACATGGGCTCTGGCCCTGTCATGAGACCCTCAGCCACACACGTGTTCAGGCCCGGTCACGAGACCCTCAGCCCACAAACGGGCTCAGGCCGGGTCACCAGACCCTCAGCCACACATGGGCTCAGGCCCGGTCACGAGACCCTCAGCCACACACGGGCTCAGGTTCGGTCACTAGACCCTCAGCTGACACATGGACTCAGGCCGGGTCACGAGACCCTCAGCCACACACGGGCTCAGGCCCGGTCACAAGACCCTCAGCCACACATGGGCTCTGGCCCTGTCATGAGACCCTCAGCCACACACAGGCTAAGGCCCGGTCACGAGACCCTCGGCCCACACACGGGCTCAGGCCGGGTCACTAGACCCTCAGCCACACACAGGCTCAAGTCCGGTCACGAGACCCTCAGCCGACACATGGACTCAGTCCGGGGTCACGAGACCCTCAGCCGACACATGGACTAAGGCCGGTTCACGAGACCCTCAGCCACACACGGGCTCAGGCCCTGTCACGAGACCCTCAGCCACACACAGGCTAAGGCCCGGTCACGAGACCCTCGGCCCACACACGGGCTCAGGCCGGGTCACTAGACCCTCAGCCACACACAGGCTCAAGTCCGGTCACGAGACCCTCAGCCGACACATGGACTCAGTCCGGGGTCACGAGAACCTCAGCCACACATGGGCTCAGGCCGGGTCACGAGAACCTCAACCCACACACGGGCTCAGGCCCTGTCACGAGACCCTCAGCCACACACGAGCTAATGGCCGGGTCACTAGACCCTCTGCCACACACAGGCTCAGGCCCGGTCACGACACCCTCAGCCACACACGGGCTCAGGCCCTGTCACGAGACACTCAGCCAACACACGAGCTCAGGCCAGATCACGAGACCCTCAGCCACAAACGGGCTCAGGCCTGGTAACGAGACCCTCAGCCACACACGGGCTCAGGCCCTGTCACGAGACACTCAGCCAACACACAAGCTCAGGCCAGATCACTAGACCCTCAGCCACACAAAGGCTCAGGCCAGTTCACGAGACCCTCAGCCACACACGGGCTCAGGCCTGGTAACGAGACCCTCAGCCACACACAGGCTACAGAATGTTCCCTGCTACTGCCTCTATCAGCCTGTTAGTCGCCACGCTACAGAATGTTCCCTGCTAATGCCCCTATCAGCCTGTTAGTCGCCACGCTCCACATTGGAACTGATTTCCTGGTGTTTTTACATGTCCAACAATTTTAACTAAAAAAAAAACATTTATTAAAAGAACATTTGGCCTCAGAAAACTTGGTGGGCAAAATAAAACCACCCGCGGGCCGCCAGTTGGGGGACCCTGCCCTGGGAAATCCACGGACTTCTCTAACCTGATGTCTATATCTGTGATGATGGTGATGTCAATATGATCTCTAACCTGATGTCTATATCTGTGATGATGGTGATGTCAATATGATCTCTAACCTGATGTCTATATCTGTGATGATGGTGATGTCAATATGATCTCTAACCTGATGTCTATATCTGTGATGATGGTGATGTCAATATGATCTCTAACCTGATGTCTATATCTGTGATGATGGTGATGTCAATATGCTCTCTAACCTGATGTCTATATCTGTGATGATGGTGATGTCAATATGATCTCTCAGATGCCACAACTAGAACATCTTTCTCTATTCTCCTGGGAATCATTAGACGTATCTGTGTGCCTGTTCCATAATAATAATAATAATATTAATGATTATAATCAAATTGATTTGTTTAGCACCTTTCATACGAGCAATAGCAGCTTAAAGTGCTGTTACAATTAGCACTTTAAAAAAAAACAATAAAACAATAAGAGCAATAAAACCAGACATAAAATAACAAACAAAAAACAATAAAAACAGCAATAAAAGTTAAAAAATGATTTAAAAAAACATGTATAAATGAAAAACAGTCAAAAGGCACACTAGTTAAAAGCCAGCGCCATCTTGAATGACCTACCATTCACTTTGACATGTACAAATGTTCTGTGACATGTAGCTGTGATCTTCAGACAGAAGAGGGTATTTGAAAAATAACGACGTAAAGGTGATCTAAAAGTCAATGGAACGATTCTACTCAGGGAAGCATGTCAGTCTACCATGGAGAGGAGAGGTTCTGAAAACGAGATGGAAACAAACCCTTGGGTCCTTCATCTTCTGTGGGTGCGGGCTCCTTGGGGGGGTCAGGCATGCTGCAGTCTGTCCCCGCCCAGGTGGGGTCACAGGTGCACGTCGCCTCGTTGTTACACACCTGGCCAGTTGGGACAAAAGGGCGGAAGTGAGGCGGCAGGGAGGAATTCATTCACCTGTGCTCCATGACAAATGAACACCTCACACTTGTTAAACTCGTCCCCAGGCTCAAGTGCTACTGCATGCTGGGGGATTTTACACGATTGTTGAAATTGCAGTGAATACGTCACTTGCTGACACTGTGTCATTGGAGACGCCATCGTGGACACTTATGGCTAATAACAGAGCCTTGAAGGTTGCAGTCATGGGCTGGGTTCATATGGGTGGTCCTCTGTAGCTCAATTGGTAGAGCATGGCGCTTGTAACGCCAGGGTAGTGGGTTCGATCCCCGGGACCACCCATACGTAAAAATGTATGCACACATGACTGTAAGTCGCTTTGGATAAAAGCGTCTGCTAAATGGCATATTATTTTATTATTTATATGGGTATACCCAGAGCAGGGATCATCAACTAGATTCAGCCGTGGGCCGATTTCTTTCTGTAGCAGATGGTCGGGGGGCAGGAACATAATTACAAATCATTTGTAGACTGCACATTGACCGCAAGAAGCCCAAACAGACTAAAGCATAATCATTTCAAACCTTACATTTGTATACGATCACGTCGTGTCTCTCTATTATGCGTGGGAATACTTGGGAACAGAGTTCTTAAATTAAAATCAATTGGAGCTGTTTTTTTACAATCTTTTATGTCCAACAATGAAAATTCCACAAAGAAAATATTTAGAAATATATATTTTTTTCTTTTCAACCATAGGCCAAATTCGGCCCGCGGGCCACCAGTTGGAGAACCCTAACCTAGAGGGTGAAGCAGCTCCCCTGGACTCACCCCGTGGGATGAGCACACCTGGCCGTTGGGCCCACTGGGGCAGGCACTCATGTTGAGGGACTGGATGGGCAGACACTTGTGGTCAAGGCACATCATGGACGGCCCACAGGGCGTTCCGTCCTCCACGTAGCCTAAGTCAGTCTCATCGTCCAAAAGAACATGGCCACCACTGTAGAGGGACGGAGGGAGGGAGGGAGGGAGGGAGGGAGGGGAGGGCGGGAGGGAGGGAGGGACAGAGAGACAGAGAAGAGACAAGAGAGAGAGACCAGAGAGATAAAGAGACGGAGGGAGGGAGGGAGGGAGGGAGAGAGAGAGAGACAGGAGAGGAAGAGAGAGATACATAGAGATAAGATATATAGAAGCAGAGCATAGAGATAATATAGAGACGAATAAGGATAGCGAGGACAAGATATAGCCATCAGATAGAGAAGAGTAAGCCTCGATATCTAGACATAGGCGCTCGTAGAGAGTATACTAGGATATATATAATCAGAGACTCCACTAGATATGGGTTAGAGGTGAGTTAGTATCCTTACGTTGTCTCTGTGCATTGACAGGTGTGGTGAGGAGGTTGTGTCCACCTGCAGTCCACCAGCCTGCCCTGATGGTTGAAGGAGGTAGGAGTGACGTCTCCCTTCATCATGCCGATGCGGGGGTTGCGTCCAATGTTACTGCACAGTAGGAACCCACAGAACACATCGCTGCAGAGGGAGAATCAGAGACAGTCACGGATGTAGAACAGGTACCGCAGTACATTAGTATGTGTTCTGGTATAGTGCATGACTAGTGTACACCGGTGTATATTTTGTATTATGGTGAACTCACTGCTTGCTGCACTGGAGCCACTTCTCCCCATCCTTTCCACAGTTACCCTTCTCAGTTCCCTCTGTGTTAAGCTTCTCATAGCAGAACTTCTCACCGCCTCCCGCCTCTGCATATGGAGTTAACACAGGAGAGGAGAGAGGGAAGGTGACCTACACCTCACAACAAGCTAATATCACTAAAGTACAAGTCTCAGATTCTCAGCCTTTTTTTTTATTACATATCTTGCCACTGCACTGGCATTGAGTAAAGCAACTTAAGCAAGAGGGATTGTGAACTCACTTGGGCCCCAGAGGTATTTACACTGGTTTCCTCGGGTCTTGCACTCTCCACTGTAGCAGCGCCCCTAAAGATACAAAAATCAAATCAAATCACATTTTATTTCTAAAGCCCTTTTATACATCAGCAGATGTCACAAAGTGCTTATACAGAAGCCCAGTCTAAAACCCCAAACAGCAAGCAATGGAGATGTAGAAGCACAGGGCATACTCATTCATTCCCTATCTGTTCAAGCAAGTTTATAGTGACAATCCTTTTCTAAATTCACATCATCTGAATAGATATATTATTATTTATATATGTCGTGGTGGCTTAGTGATCATGCTGCCCACCTGGTCGACTTGACAGTGGTAGCCATCTTGTTTGTGGAGGTTGGGAGGGCACTACAATGAACGACATGAAAATATTTCCTTTTAACACAGCTGAACATTTCATCCTTTTTCAGAAATGAATGGTTAGAGCCTAACTCACCTGGCCTGAGTCTCCTGAGCATGTCTCTGTGATGTCACAGTCATTCACCGCATAGCGACAACTGTAACCGCGTGGGTAGAACTGACATAGAGAGAGAGAACAAGAGACTGGGATTTCCTGTACCAATCTATCAGGTCTCTCAAGCAACACTAACAAAAAAACATACTGGTGATTAAAACGCCATACTGATTCTTAGTGAGCAACCTGACACAGTGATTAAAATGCCATACTGATTTTTAGTGAGCAACCTGACACAGTGATTAAAAAGCCATACTGGTTCTTATTGAGCAGCCTGACACATTGATTAAAAAGCCATACTGATTCTTAGTGAGCAACCTGACACAGTGATTAAAAAGCCATACTGGTTCTTAGTGAGCAGCCTGACACAATGATTAAAAAGCCATACTGATTATTAGTGAGCAACCTGACTAAACAGCCCTTACCAGACAAGTATTGTTGCAGCAAGGTCCGTCAGCACAATGTGCACCATTAGCTAGGGAACACTTCTTGCAGCACTCCTTCTTGTAACACTCCTGCAACCCAGACGGCACCACCAGGTCTGACACTTGTATTGGAACCATATAAATGAGATGTAAATAAACAAGTATTTAATAGTAACTTACTGCTTTATCACCGCAGTCACACTCCTCTCCCACCTCAATGTATCCATTCCCACACTCTGTAGATTCAAACAGCTGCTGAAACAAACGGAATCAGAGGGTTATAACGGTCCTCTGAACTACTGGTTATATGATGTTCAGCTTGTACGACGACCACAACGTGACCTACTCACCTTGGTTGGCCTGTTATAAAGACAGGATCCACCGCCCTTCAGCAGGAACTCCTTGTAGTCTGAGATGCTGCACTTGGAGAACTTACGGGGATGCTGGACCCTTGGGGGGGGAAAGGAATACATCCACCTTTAACATCCAACTGTTAATTGACTGTGTGTGTGAGAGTGAGAGGTGTGGGAGACATTATTCACGTCAGGTCGGTGTGCAACGAGAGCCACTGTCAACAAACACAAGCATGACGTCAGGGTAATTTTTCACATGCTAACGCAGGTCATGACCCTGAGACACAGCTGAGCCGTGCACCGCCTCTGGTGGCTGCAGCTGCAGTTCTATACGCCATGTCATTAGCCTGCTATCATAGAGAGGGTCTGGGGTGCTAGGTGGTTAGTAGCTCATAGAGAGGGTCTGGGGTGCTAGGTGGTTAGTAGCTCACAGAGAGGGTCTGGGGTGCTAGGTGGTTAGCAGCTCATAGAGAGGGTCTGGGGTGCTAGGTGGTTAGCAGCTCATAGAGTGGGTCTGGGGTGCTAGGTGGTTAGCAGCTCATAGAGAGGGTCTGGGGTGCTAGGTGGTTAGTAGCTCATAGAGAGAGGCTGGGGTGCTAGGTGGTTAGCAGCTCATAGAGAGGGTCTGGGGTGCTAGGTGGTTAGCAGCTCATAGAGTGGGTCTGGGGTGCTAGGTGGTTAGCAGCTCATAGAGAGGGTCTGGGGTGCTAGGTGGTTAGCAGCTCATAGAGTGGGTCTGGGGTGCTAGGTGGTTAGCAGCTCATAGAGAGGGTCTGGGGTGCTAGGTGGTTAGCAGCTCATAGAGTGGGTCTGGGGTGCTAGGTGGTTAGCAGCTCATAGAGAGGGTCTGGGGTGCTAGGTGGTTAGTAGCTCATAGAGAGAGGCTGGGGTGCTAGGTGGTTAGCAGCTCATAGAGTGGGTCTGGGGTGCTAGGTGGTTAGCAGCTCATAGAGTGGGTCTGGGGTGCTAGGTGGTTAGCAGCTCATAGAGAGGGTCTGGGGTGCTAGGTGGTTAGCAGCTCATAGAGTGGGTCTGGGGTGCTAGGTGGTTAGCAGCTCATAGAGAGGGTCTGGGGTGCTAGGTGGTTAGCAGCTCATAGAGAGGGTCTGGGGTGCTAGGTGGTTAGCAGCTCATAGAGTGGGTATGGGGTGCTAGGTGGTTAGCAGCTCATAGAGAGGGTCTGGGGTGCTAGGTGGTTAGCAGCTCATAGAGAGGGTCTGGGGTGCTAGGTGGTTAGCAGCTCATAGAGAGGGTCTGGGGTACTAGGTGGTTAGCAGCTCATAGAGAGGGTCTGGGGTGCTAGGTGGTTAGCAGCTCATAGAGAGAGTCTGGGGTGCTAGGTGGTTAGCAGCTCATAGAGAGAGTCTGGGGTACTAGGTGGTTAGCAGCTCATAGAGAGGGTCTGGGGTGCTAGGTGGTTAGCAGCTCATCGAGAGAGTCTGGGGTGCTAGGTGGTTAGCAGCTCATAGAGAGAGGCTGGGGTGCTAGGTGGTTAGCAGCTCATAGAGAGAGGCTGGGGTGCTAGGTGGTTAGCAGCTCATAGAGAGAGGCTGGGGTGCTAGGTGGTTAGCAGCTCATAGAGAGAGGCTGGGGTGCTAGGTGGTTAGCCGCTCATAGAGAGGGTCTGGGGTACTAGGTGGTTAGCAGCTCATAGAGAGAGGCTGGGGTGCTAGGTGGTTAGCAGCTCATAGAGAGGGTCTGGGGTGCTAGGTGGTTAGCAGCTCATCGAGAGAGTCTGGGGTGCTAGGTGGTTAGCAGCTCATAGAGAGGGTATGAGGTACTAGGTGGTTAGCAGCTCATAGAGAGGGTCTGGGGTGCTAGGTGGTTAGCAGCTCATAGAGAGGGTCTGGGGTGCTAGGTGGTTAGCAGCTCATAGAGAGGGTCTGGGGTGCTAGGTGGTTAGCAGCTCATAGAGAGAGTCTGGGGTACTAGGTGGTTAGCAGCTCATAGAGAGGGTCTGGGGTGCTAGGTGGTTAGCAGCTCATCAATACACATTTCCCTCAACAGAAATCCGTAGAAATAATCTATTCTCTCTCCTAATAGGACCTCTAATAATAACATCTGCTTCATAGTGTTATATTCTCTCTCCTCTCTCTCTCTCTCTTTCTCTTTCTCTCTCTCACGCTCTCTCTCACTCTCTCTCACTCTCTCACGCTCTCTCTCACTCTCTCTCACTCTCTCTCTCACTCTCTCTCTATATATATCAGTCTGTGTGTATGTGTGTGTGAGGGGATGACATGTAACAGGGAGAGAGAGACATAGAGACAGAAACAGAGAGAGTGAGAATAACAGTAGTGTGGTTGCCCATTACCCATTATCCTCCATGATGCAGCCCACCCAGGAGTCAGAGCAGCCACATTCCTCTGTGAGAGAGAACAACACGTTTCCATCAAAGAAATAGATTATTCTAAATTTAAAAACATAGATTGTAAAATTAGATATTTCTAAAAAGGACTGCTTTTTAAATCTGTGAGGCGGTCTCTGTACTTCTCTTGGCGACTGGATCCCACTGGATGCCAAGGTTCTGGGCCAAGCTCTGGGAGAGTGACGAAGCCATGGTCCACGTGTTGCCATTCTGCAGGTACAAAACATTAGCAGTTACTCGTCTGCTCTGCCATAATAAAACAGTATGATCCTGGACATTAGTCAGCACATCTCACCTCGTTGACCCCTACTCCACGGCTCACAGAGCACATGCCTCCGAAGTATGCTGCACTGCTTCGGCTGTAGTGGAAGGTCACATTGCTGTGCATCGAAGAGACACAGAGTAACTATCAGACAAACAGGCCGACAGACAGACAGACAGACACACACACAGGCAGACAGACAGACAGACACACATACAGGCAGACAGACAGACAGACAGACACACATACAGGCAGACAGACAGGGAAACAGACAGACAGACAGACAGACAGACAGACAGACAGACAGACAGACAGACAGACAGACAGACAGACAGACAGACAGACACAAAGACGGGCAGACAGTATGGGGTGGCCCTGAGGAACAGAGAGGAGAGAGCACTTACGAGAAGAGGTGCACAGCGTCAGCGTGCTGCTTGATGCTCTGCGCCCGGTACTTAGAGAAATCTTTCAGCATGTCCAGCGGCTTCACACTGATTGGAATCTGGTCCTTGTCCGTCCAGATCTCCATGGCAACCAGAACCACCCGTGTGTGCAGATGCTCCTTAAAGATCTGTCATCGGAGCATGATGGGTAGTGGGAGAACACAGAAAGAGAGAGATAGAGAGCGCAATCACAGCACAGGGACAGGTGAAGAATACTGGGTGTGAATGATCATCTGTACTGTCTGAGGACAGGACAGGACAGGACAGGACAGGGGATACAGCACACTGGGAGCAGGGAGAGACACGGGACAGGACAGGACAGGACAGGGGTATACAGCACACTGGAAGCAGGGAGAGACACGGGACGGGACAGGACAGGACAGGGGATAGAGCACACTGGGAGCAGGGAGAGACACGGGACAGGACAGGACAGAGACTGAGGTACAGGAGACTCAGGGTACAGGAGAATCAGGGTACAGGAGACTGAGGTACAGGAGACTGAGGTACAGGAGAATCAGGGTACAGGAGACTGAGGTACAGGAGACTGAGGTACAGGAGACTCAGGGTACAAGAGACTGAGGTACAGGAGACTCAGGGTACAGGAGAATCAGGGTACAGGAGACTGAGGTACAGGAGACTGAGGTACAGGATACTGAGGTACAGGAGACTGAGGTACAGGATACTGAGGTACAGGAGACTGAGGTACAGGAGACTGAGGTACAAGAGACTGAGGGTACAGGAGACCTAGGGTACAGGAGACTGAGGTAAAGGAGACTCATGGTACAGGAGGCTGAGGGTACAGGAGACTGAGGTACAGGAGACTGAGGTATAGGAGACTCAGGTGCAGGAGACTCAGGTTACAGGAGACTCAGGGTACAGGAGACTCAGGGTACAGGAGACTGAGGGTACAGGAGACTGAAGGTACAGGAGACTGAAGATACAGGAGACTGAGGTACAGGAGACTGAGGGTACAGGAGACTGAGGTACAGGAGACTGAAGGTACAGGAGACTGAAGGTACAGGATACTGAGGGTACAGGATACTGAAGGTACAGGAGACTCAGGGTACAGGAGACTGAGGTACAGGAGACTGAGATAACAGGAGACTCAGGTTACAGGAGACTCAGGGTACAGGAGACTCAGGGTACAGGAGACTGAGGGTACAGGAGACTGAAGGTACAGGAGACTGAGGGTGCAGGATACTGAGGGTACAGGAGACTGAAGGTACAGGAGACTGGGGGTACAGGAGACTGAATGTACAGGAGACTGAATGTACAGGAGACTGAAGGTACAGGAGACTGAAGGTACAGGAGACTGAGGGTACAGGAGACTCAGGGTACAGGAGACTGAAGGTACAGGAGACTGAGGTACAGGAGACTGAAGGTACAGAAGACTGAAGGTACAGGAGACTGAGGGTACAGGAGACTCAGGTTACAGGAGACTGAAGGTACAGGAGACTGAAGGTACAGGAGACTGAGGTACAGGAGACTGAAGGTACAGAAGACTGAAGGTACAGGAGACTGAAGGTACAGGAGACTGAGGTACAGGAGACTGAAGGTACAGTAGACTGAAGGTACAAGAGACTGAGGGTACAGGAGACTGAGGGTACAGGAGACTGAGGTACAGGACACAAGGGTACAGGAGACTCAGGTTACAGGAGACTCAGGGTACAGGAGACTCAGGGTACAGGAGGCTGAGGGTACAGGAGGCTGAGGGTACAGGAGACTGAGGTACAGGAGACTCAGGGTACAGGAGACTGAGGTACAGGAGACTCAGGGTACAGGAGACTGAGGTACAGGAGACTCAAGGTACGGGAGACTCAGGGTACGGGAGACTGAGGTACAGGAGACTCAGGGTACAGGAGACTCAGGGTACAATAGGCTCAGATTACAGGAGACTCAGATTACAGGAGACTCAGGGTACAGGAGAATCAAATTACAGGAGACTCAAGGTACAGGAGATATACAGTGTGTGACACATGAAGAAGTGGTCAATTCTGGGTTCTACCTCTAGGGGCACTTTAATATAAATAAAAACAGCTGTTTTCAACAAAAAATACATATACATTTGATAAATGAATCTGTAAATGTAATGTGTAGATATACTTGTGTTTTGCAAACACAATAATTGATTAAGCTATGATTGATTAAACTATGATTTATTAAACTATGATTGCATTGAAACTATTATTTAGGTACACAAGAGCCAGAGAATTAGAATCAGTTAAACATTATTCTAGATTGTTCTGATGGACACCCTGAGACATAAACCAGAAACAAGAGGTGAAGGGCAGAATATGTGCAGTTGAAAGGGAATCTAACCCGAACGCTTATAAGAAATCCCGCTATGCCCTCCGACGAACCATCAAACAGGCAAAGAGTCAATACCGGACTAAGATTGAATTGTACTACACCGGCACTGACACTCGTCGGATGTGGCAGGGCTTGAAAACTATTACAGACTACAAAAGGAAGCACAGCCGCGAGCTGCCTAGTGACACAAGCCTACCAGGACGTGTACTCCGAGCATGTGCTGACCAACTGGCAAGTGTCTTCACTGACATTTTCAACATGTCCCTGACTGAGTCTGTAATACCTACATGTTTCAAGCAGACCACCATAGTCCCTGTGCCCAAAGACACTAAGATAACCTGCCTAAATGACTACCGACCCGTAGCACTCACGTCTGTAGCCATGAAGTGCTTTGAAAGGCTGGTCATGGCTCACATCAACACCATTATCCCAGAAACCCTAGACCCACTCCAATGCACTCCACACTGCCCTTTCCCACCTGGACAAGAGGAACACCTACGTGAGAATGCTGTTCATTGACTACAGCTCAGCGTTCAACACCATAGTGCCCTCAAAGCTCATCACTAAGCTAAGGATCCTGGGACTAAACACCTCCCTCTGCAACTGGATCCTGGACTTCCTGACGGGCCGCCCCCAGGTGGTAAGGGTAGGTAACAACACATCTGTCACGCTGATCCTCAATACGGGGGCCCCTCAGGGGTGCGTGCTCAGTCCCCTCCTGTACTCCCTGTTCACCCATGACTGCATGGCCAGGCACGAATTCAACACCATCATTAAGTTTGCTGACGACACAACAGTGGTAGGCCTGATCACCGACAACGATGAGACAGCCTATAGGGAGGAGGTCCAAGACCTGGCCGTGTGGTGCCAGGATAACAACCTCTCCCTCAACGTGATCAAGATAAAGGAGATGATTGTGGACTACTGGGAAAAAAAAGAGGACTGAGCACGCCCCCATTCTCATCAACAGGGCTGTTGTGGAGCAGGTTGAGATTTGGCATGGGTCCTCAGATCCTCAAAAAGTTCTACAGCTGCACCATCGAGAGCATCCTGACTGGTTGCATCACCGCCTGTTATGGCAACTGCTCGGCCTGGGGCCAAGCTTCCTGTCATCCAGGACCTCTATACCAGGCAGTGTCAGAGGAAGGCCCTCAAAATTGTCAAAGACTCCAGCCACCTTAGTCATAGACTGTTCTCTCTGCTACCGCACGGCAAGCGGTACCGGAGCGCCAAGTCTAGGTCCAAAAGGCTTCTCAACAGCTTCTACCCCCAAGCCATAAGACTCCTGAACAGCTAATCATGGCTACCCGGACTATTTGCACTGCCCCCCCCACCCCATCTTTTTACGCTGCTGCTACTCTGTTAATTATTTATGCATAGTCACTTTAACTCTACCCACATGTACATATTACTTCAACTATCTCAACTAGCCGGTGCCCCCGCACATTGACTCTGCACCGGTACCCCCCTGTATATAGCCTCCCTACTGTTATTTTATTTTACTGCTGCTATTTAGTTATTTGCTTTTATTTTTTTTACTTAACACTTTATTTATTTTTTATGCATTGTTGGTTAAGGGCTTGTAAGTAAGCGTTTCACTGTAATGTCTACACCTGTTGTATTCGGCGCATGTGGCAAATACAATTTGATTTGATTTGATTTGAATAAAGGTACAAAAATAAGAATCAGTTCTCAGAGCCAACTGAAGATGTTACTCACAGCATCCACAAGGTTCACCACTGACTTGGCAGAGTTCCTGGTGTGCTGCTTGGTCTGGTGTCGCTTATACTGCAGACCACACAAAAACAATGACACAAATGTTATTAAAAACTATTATTAGGGGAATAAGAATAAATACTTAAAGATACCAAGCTTCTATAACACCCTTTTAGAAATACATAAAATATACATGTTGATTTTTGATGGTCCACGCCAGCAATAGAATAAGCCTGGTGTTTTCAAATCTGGATGATGGTTATGTTGGATAGGATATGAATCACACATACACCACCACATTCAATAGTGTTGCACCCTCTTGTGGCCATAGCTGGCTAAGCATCAGTCAAGAGAGGAAAAACAGGTCTCCTGTGTGTTTCTGGAATGTCGCGGAGTCCAGTATTTTGAGTCATTCTTAACAGTAAAAGCATGAAACATTGCTGAAATATTCATTCATGTTTCCTGTCTTCTGTTTAGAAGTGTGTTGCTTGGCTTTGTTTTGAGGGCACATACCATATTATGGTCACTGACGATCATAATCTCCAAATACTTCATCTCCTCAAATACATTCCGAGGCATCTGAAAAAGCCACAGATTAGTTCACTTTCATAACACACAGCAATGACAGATTTATAGATGAGAACAAAATAGAAAATGTTGTGTTGTGCTGAGTTGCAAATTATGTTGTGAGAGAAGCTTGAGGGATTTAATTGTACAGAGGTCACATTGAGGCCCTATACTGGAAGGCTAGGTTATAAAACAAGGCTACATAACACTAGTTAAACGAAAACACTAGTTTTCAAGGGGTGATAACATAGTGATGTTACAGAGGGTTAGGGTACAGAGGTTAGGTTACATAGGTTAGTTACGTAGGTGTTGTTACAGTGGGTTATGTACTAGGTTGGGTTACAGAAGGTTAGGTTACAGTAGTTAGGGTTACAGTAGGTTAAGGGGTGGGTACAGTAGGTTAGGTTACAGAGGTTGGTAACAGTGGGTTAGGTTACTGGGTTACGTAGGGTTAGGTTACAAGGTTACAGTAGGTTAGGGTACATAGGTTACA